TGTAAAAGTCAAATCTTAACACTAGGCCAAGAAGACTATCCGGCTTTTTTTTTACCTTTTATATAGACTATTCTCTTACTAAAAGTGTTCAACTGGGACTAACAATAGGTGATTTAAGTCTATCGCTACATTCAATACTATAAATATATTTACAGCATAAATTATACGTTATTAGAAAAAATGTAGTCACAGTCATTAAAAACTTTTTTTTATCAGTTAAATATAATAGGGTTTTATGATTTATTAATTGTGGTGTTTATTCGATTGCTTGGCAATTTGCCTTGGTTGATCCTACCCTTTCAATCTTTCGTCCTTGGAAATGGATCTCGAAATCGACATTGAACAGTTTATCCTCTCTCGTTTTGTCTGTTCTGAGACAATTGAATCGATAATTAATGCACTTAAAGCTAAGTTCGACTTATATCTTAAGCGAAGGGAACAATCTTTTAACCTGATGATCGATAAGATGGAACGCTTGAATAGACTGATAAATAAAGTAGCACTTCTCTTAAATTTTAAATTATTAGCTTACTTGCTTCTTCATCACTTAGAACCATTTATAGCTTATTTAATATGTCAAACATAAACAAAAATATATATATTTATCCTCTGCTCCCATTAACATTTAATTACTCTGGCCTGCTACTTTTTAGTCTTGTTGAAATTTCATGAGTTTTATTCTACTATCTAGCTCTTATCTAATCTCAACGATGGATTTACTACCCAGAGCGAAGAAGAATGGCAGACCATGCATTTAACACGAACTGGAAAAAAAATACGATTAGCAACACAGGCCAGGACTACACAAAAAATTTCGCGACATGTCGACCTTCAATCTACACACTCATTTTATAAGGTCGGAACTGTTTGTGCAAGAGGCCGTAATGTAACAAACTTGCTTCCTCTTCAGGAATCAACGCCACTTGATTCAACACGAACACATTTAGGCAGATTGCGTGGTTTAGCCTGTGCGACTCCTACTCCAGCCTCTAACACCACTGCGACTACCGCCAGACCTCGCCGTGCAGCTGTTTCTAGACTTGCTGAGACATTTACTAGTGCCAAACCATCCGCAATGCCACTACCTTCAGATCGCTGCACCGATGGTCGAAAAAGGCAGCGGAAACTTTTAGCAACTAAAAATTGTAGTTCGCCTCGATCAGAACCTGCCGTTGATTGTGTTAGCCTTAGTTCAACTTCAATACGAGCATCAACACGCTCAAGAAAAGTCTCGCGCCGACGCATTAGCAGTAAGCTTCATCAGGAAGAGGGTTTCGCTTCCCCTCAGTCAGTTATTTAGGTAAGAACATTTCTCAAAATTAATACTTCGTGTATGCAGTTTATCTTTGTTTTTTTTCAATTTGGGTTTTTTATTATTGTAGTCATATATATTGTGCTTATGAAAAAATAACTTA